GTACACGCAGCGAAATGGACTTTTACGGTTAACGACACGGAGAGCCCGGATGTCAAGTCCTGGATCGATACCCTCATGAGAAAGGCATATGGCCCGGCGAAACTATGCAAGAGAGCAAAGGTCTTGGTTAACCCGCATGCCGGACCGGGAGGCGCGGAAAAGAAGTGGCGCGTAGACGTCGAGCCTCTGTTCAAGGCGGCGCGCATGCCTATGGACGTGGAGCACACCACCTACTCAGGCCAAGCTCTTGAAATAGCGCGGGAAGTCGACGTGGACGCGTTCGACACGATTGTCACCTGCTCTGGTGATGGTTTGGCCCACGAGGTATTCAATGGTCTGGGTCAGCGGCCCGACGCGTCGCGAGCGCTACACAAGATTGCTGTCTCGCACATTCCCTGCGGCTCGGGCAATGCGATGAGCTGCAATCTCTACGACTCGTATCGACCGTCGATCTGCGCTCTTGCCATCATCAAGGGAGTTGAGACCCCAATGGATCTGGTCAGCATCACACAGGGCGACCGACGCACCCTCAGTTTCTTGAGTCAGGCCCTTGGCGTAGTGGCCGAGAGCGACCTGGCTACCGAGCACTTGCGGTGGATGGGCGGCGCGCGCTTCACCTGGGGCTTCTTGGTCAGAATATTCGAAAAGAAGTGCTACCCCTGCGACTTGGCTGTCAAGGTCGAGATCGAGGACAAAGCGGGCGTCAAGAAGCACTACAAGGAGTACATGCGCAGCGCGTCGGTAACACATTCGGGCGCCAGCGAGCCTCCGAGAGCGGAGAATGCTGATGCTGTTTCGAGTCCTTTCGGTGACCAGGAGGGACTGCCGCCTTTGAGATTCGGCACCATCAACGATGCTCTGCCAGACGGATGGGAACTGATACCCCATGACAAGATGGGCAACTTTTATTGCGGAAATGTAAGTACACTGCCTCACCTTTCTTGGTGTCTGACTGGACATGCCCGCCTCTTGGATATTGTCCCCCGAAAGAACTACGTACTGACCACCCCAGATGGCATACATGGCCGCCGACGCCAACTTCTTCGCCGCTGCTCTCGCCAATGACGGTCTGATGGACCTTGTCTGCATCGACGGAGACATGTCAGTCGGCGCCCAACTGAGCATGCTAATGTCTGTGGAGAATGGAAAATTCTTTGACAACTCTTTGGTATCGTACCGCAAGATTTCCGCCTACAGGATCATTCCAAAGAACCAGAAGGACGGCTACATCAGCATCGACGGTGAAAAGGTGCCCTTTGAGCCCTTCCAGGCCGAGATTCACCACGGTCTGGGCAGGGTCATTTCGAAGCGTGGCAAGTACGAAGCCCCAGGTCCCTTGGGCTGGGAGAAGATGTCCCTACCCTAAGAGATCGCCCCAGATCTGCGCAGTGAAGGGAGACGAAATGGTGTCACCGGCTGTGATTGAGGTCGAGACGGCCAACCAAGATATGGCACAACGGCCTTTTGGCCGCAAACGAAGGAAGCGGAAGCGGAGTAGGGAGCAGTGATTTGTTTCTTCAAAAGTCGAGATACCCAGATAGAACAAGACGAAGACGGGAAGAGTACAGCCATCGTCGGGCCGGGCTGGAAGAGCAGGCGGCCAGGATGGCAAAAAGGGCAGCCATTGGATATCACTGTATACTATAGAGTACAGCGTTGCACATAATACCTGATTTCTCTTTTTGGTTCCCACCACCGCTTCCCATGGAACAGAAACCCACGCGGAATCCTTTCATCAAAAATGACATGCCTCCCTTTCTTTTTGTAAAATCCAACCAACGCCGTGTTCACCATCCCATGCAAAGACACGAAGCCAAGGGGAGTGCTAAACCCCCTCTATTGATCGTCAATGCCGCCCCATTCATCATCATCCCCATCTGCCGCCTCCGCCTCCTCGGTAGCCTTGCTCTCCGTCCACGGCAGCCTCTCGTCCTCAACCACGACCGCGGCCTTGGCTCGCACAGTCTTGACGGGTGACTTCCTCAACGGCTCAACAAGCTGGCTCAGCTTCTTGGCAAACGCCACCGCCTTGGCGTCCTTCTCCTCGAGCATCTCCAACCGATCCAGCTCGTCAACCCAGATATCAAGCCCGTGGAGCCGCAGCCCGATCGGCACCTTTCTCAAGTCGCCCTCGAGCTCAAACGGCCACTCGCCGTACACCTTCAGCAACGCACCCACCCTCGCTTCCTGGTACTCGCCCTCCTTCACCCACTGAAGTCCCGAAGTAAACGTGCGTCTGACGAGGAGGAGGAACTTCTCCATGCGGAGGACGTCGATGTCCGTCCACTGCTTGGAGAGGATCTCCCAGAAGGCGGCGAGCCAGGTGGGCACGTCGTCGTTGCGGAGGCAGGCTGTCAGGCCGGCGAGCTCGGAGGCGAGGTTCTGTTGCGGGATGGGGCGGTCGCACATCCACATTGCGTAGAAGAGGCCCTTCCAGAGCTTGAGGGCTTCGAGGTGGGAGAGGGCGCGGTGGGAGCCGAGGAAGGTTTGGAGGGAGGTCAGGGCTTGGGTTCGGAGTTTGCGGTCTAGGGGGGCACGAGGGAGTCAGTTGAAGTTGCTCTGGGGGTTTGGCTTGGAAGATTGGGAGGTTCGCGACGGCAGGTTCGGGACCGAAGATTGCGATGCGACGGGGGACGAACCGCTGGAGGCCAGGTTCCTGATGAACGGCATGTTCTGTTCTTGAGACGCCATCTTGGCTGCGTTTGTGGGGTGGCTGAGCCGGAGGAGGGTAGCTCAATTGCGAGTGTCGCGGGTTCTTGGAGTTGCGACGGGTAGGACTGTCGTTCTATGCACCGTCGGCGATGGGACTTGCGAGGCAGGGTGGGATGGGTTTCTCGAAATAAAATTGTTGTTCACCGAGAAACTGCCCCGCCGATCCTCGGTGTACGAGGGTCCCGGGGTAACTCGATCGGGTGACCGCCTTTGAAGAGGTGGGGCCAACGGTATGCAGGGGAAAGGCGTGGCGTGTGGCGGTACCGGTCTGGATTGTTCGGTGGTGTGGCTGTGTATTTGACGACGTTGGAGCCCCAGACAAGGTACGACCTATTGATACCATGAATAGATATTCAGAAATTCAAGATGCTATGAGATGGAGCGTCACAGAGAATCAAGAACTCTCTCCGATGATTCGGTATTCAGTTCATTACCAGCCAGTATGTTTATTACTTCGCCAAACGAGTAGCCCTCATTCCAGAAACATCAGCCCAAGCCAAGTCCAAGCCAGAACATGGTCAAACTCCTTGTGCTGTCAGGTTTCCATCGTAGACCACCATCCAGGTCTCATTCAAAGATCCAAACATCCGTTACGTCATGCTGTGCTCCCGATCGTAGCCAATCGAAGGAGAAGGGGAGGGAACCTCCGAAGCTCTCATAATTCTGTCAACCTTCTTGCGAACATCCTCCAACTGAGCAAGAAGCTCCTTATTCTTGGCCACAGCCTCATCCAATTGACTTTGCTGTTCCGCCACCTCCTGTGTCTTCTGGAAGAGCTGTGCCTGCGTAGTCACCAGCTCATGCTGCGACTGCTGAATAACGGCGTCCTTGCGCTCACTCTCCTTTCGGTAGTAATCAATGTGGCCGTAGTACTCCTGAGCCTGGGCGTAGCTCGTGTGCGCCACATCGTAAGAGACCGAGATCTTGCTGTGAAGCTCGGAAACTTCGCGCTTGTTGGCTTGGGCGATCTTGTTGGCGCGGATCTGGAAGTGGGCTAGCTCGGAGAGGGCTTCTTCGCGGGAGGTAATGAGGATGGCGATGAGGTCTTTGCCTTCGAGTCTGCGCTCCGTGGCCTTTTTCTCGTCGTCGGCCATGAGTTGCTTGAAGAGCTTCTTATGCTCTGCGTCGTCGTATTGGACGAACTGTTTGTATTTGCGCGTTGTCAGTGCTTGCTTTGGTTTGAAGAGCAGCTCGGGCAGGTAAGGCGATCATCTCAATGGGGATGTTTCCGCGAGGAACCCCGGGAGCTTGAAAACCAGGCGTGAAACTAACCTTGAGACCATTGTAGGTCGAGTTGTTGTTGTCGACCATAGTAGTGCCGGAAGAAGCCACGAAATTGGTTGCCTGTGAGGATCGGTCTGAAGAAGATCTGATAAAAAGCTCGCTGCGCTCGTCTGATCGGCAAGAAGTGGCAAACGTATCGGCCTTGCGAAATATTCTTCGCCAGAAAGAACCCTGAAGTATGGAGTTTGGTGCAATTACTCGTATTGGTCGTATAGATGACTGGGGCGTGGTTCTGCTTTGAGGTTGTTGATGTCCGAGATGGACACGAAGTGCTACAAACTTCGTGGTGCATGTGGAGGGAAGTGTGACTACGTAGAGAAGAGTCGTTAAACCGAAGAAAGTTGTAACACCCTATAAACTGGAATCGGATCGTATTCCAAAGGACTGTCCTGATAGTATTTGCCATCCACAGAGTCCACATCAGTCCGAAGAGTGGTGGGATTTCCACAAATCATAATGGACGAAAAGCAATCTTGCAATAAGGACGAAGGCTCTCGGGGACTCCCCATCTAAATCAACCAATACAAGCACGTATCCTTTGGATGAAGCCACGAAAGCCCTCGGGGCGATAGACTGCCTTCTGCAGCAAAAGGCTTGGAGCAATTGAGCCCAGAAGACACCAACTTACCCTCGTTGCCTAGACGAGTTTGTTGCCTTCTCAAGGCATGGATACACTGGAAAACATGGCCGTAGAGGAAAGGAAGATATGAATTTCAATCGGCTACTCAGGGAAACATCGTGGGCCATGACGGATTGTAGAACGACTTTCCTGCTAGATACTATGTCTTTGCATCAGCCAACAATGCAAGATAGGTACCTTCACATGTGCGCCATGTCACCAACCGATTCACGATGTTATTGCCGAGGCTCTTCGGCCTTTCTCTGACCGTCTCAATGTATTACTTGTATCGGTTATCTCCTGTTTGCGAGTGAAACAATCCCGGCCTGACTACTGAACTATGTAGATAATGGCGGGATACTTGAGGTTCCCATGGGCTCCATCTCTATTGGGAGCTGCGCGAAGCACTACCTCTGAGGTGAGGAGGGCACGCCGTCATGAGATGAGCCACTTTGGCCTGCTCGGCAGCGAGAGCCCTTTTCAGATCTCTGACCTCGTCCTGATGGCGCTCGTTGTTGCGGTCAATGGACAGACCAGCGGTGCGAATCGCATCCTCGGCGCGTCTATTGCAGCTGTCCCGCAACATTGCCAGCTCCGCAAGGTGCGTGTCGACCAAAGCCTTCATGGTTTGCTTGTGTTCCTTCTGGAGCTTCTCAATCTCGCTGTTGGAGTCGACAACAACGAAGTCGTCTTCGGTGTCAGAAGTCTGTAGTCTTTGTTAGTGCTGACCTGCAGGTATCAAAAGGTGCTTGGCCTTACCATGACTGCCATGCTGCTGCTCATAGAAGAAGTGCCGTGAGACATTGCGATTGAGGAGTTGTGTATTGTTCGTGTGGTGATCAAGTGATTCTATTCAAGATTGTCAGATTGTTTCCCCAGTAATAACGTAGAAAAAAAAGGCTCTTCATGAACATGCCTTCTTAACAGAGGCGTGCTCTTGGGCCCGTGAAAAAGGCAAGTTGTGTGGTGAATAGGAGTTGAGAGACGAATGCAAAAAGTCTGGAAAGCTTGTGTGCGGTAAGGAGAGAAAGCGGATTGGAAGAAAAGAGCCAGAGAGAGGAATCTTTATACTTTTTCAAAGGTGAAGTTGGTGATGGGGGCATTCCAGGACAAGGACCCACCTCCAACGTTGTCCTGATCGGGATACAGTAGTGAAAGAGGAAGGTATGTTATTTTTCCAATTAGGGGTCAGCGGTGAACAGTATTGCGTCTTTCATGAGAGAACGAACGTGAATCACGTTTTCCAGAAGGCATTCAGGGGTACGTATGTGTCCTTCGAGTGGCTGAATGCCTTCATTGTAGCCCATGGGAGACTCCTTGGATAACCAACATGCCTTAGCAAAGGCTCAAGAGAGATTTGAAGGAGACAACAAGAGGCATGATGATGAGAACTGAAGGGGCTAGTGGTATTATCTGACAGAATTGCTGGTATGGACGAACAAACCCGACACAAACCCGATAGCAAGAATTCCTGAGCGTAATCATAGTATAACTATATACACGAGTGCCAGCTAAGTTTTACAGTGGACTTGATCCCCAAGTATTTTGATTTACGGCCATCTTCATCTATGAAAATGGCAGATCTCATGTCACACTTGCCATATATATATAGCTGATGATCAAGGCTGCTGTGCGGTAGGCTCTGTTGTCACCTGCGTATAGTGTAACAGACGGATTGTTTATGAAAACGTTTCTTGTTCGAAATTCCATAATGTAATTGTTTGGCGCTGTTGAGCCTCCCTGAGATTGCTTTAATTAGGCGTAAGCTTTGGGGCCAGTTCTGCTCGAAGGAAACGGAAGTCTTTGTGCTTTCCATCAAGTTTCCCCAATTACGCAAACTCATTGACTACATCAAGTTGTTCGTTGAACAGATAGTCTTGCAGAGTAAGTATGAAACAAATACTACAAAGCTGTAAGAAGCTGACAGCCATGCGGCGAGAACTGATCGAACCTCCAGTATCGAAGTTGTAAAATTGACGTAGAAGGAAGGGACGACCATCCACCGTTGGCACCTGCCTTGCGAATGGGTATCCGACGCGACATAAATTCTCTCGGCCTAAGGTTAGTAGTTATGACAACAACGCGCTTTTCTGTGAGGCTAATTAGGGTGATGAGATCCGGGAACAACAGTGATGCCAAGACATGCCTTTGACGAGCATTTGCTATCCGCTAGGCTCAGTGACCGCAGCACCGTATGCTCTAGAGCAGTACAATGACATTGGCACATTCAAGCTACCCTCGAGTCCAAGGAAACCCGAAATTCCCTTTGATTGGGCTCGCAGAAATTTCGCGGGTGTCGATACTGCGGTTTGCCCAATGAAGAAAACGGCGATTTACCGTGACGTGACGCTTTAAAGGCAACGATGGGCATCCCTTGAGTACCTAGAATCGCTAGGTCAAATGCAAATGCCCCCGTCAAGCGATGAAAACAGACGACATAAAACACGAGGAAGAGATAGACTACACGGAGAAGGATCACCAGGTCTGATTTGGGAGCAATGCGCCGGCCACATGCGAGCATCCAGACTTGAGGAGATGCCCATCGCACTTTGCCAAGGAAAAGGAGAGACCCCGTGAAATCACCAGAATTCTGGCCAAAACATCGTCAATGAACTAGGGACGAGCATGAGTGAAACAATCTTAGGAGATATCTATTGCTTCATTGTGAAGCATGCTTCAGCTCAAGGTATATTATTTCTGGCTCCTTTTCTTCGCTGTGGATGGTGTTTGCCGTTCGTCGTACTCCCGAGGCGTGCTAGACGAACGGCGGATACGAATGGAATACAGTCATTAGGGCTAGGAAATATTTTGTCTGAGGTTTTTCCGTCTGCGAATAATGAATCACGTCTTGTTATCGTACCTCGACCTGTCGTCACCTGGTAAAGGCAAATCTCAACTTCACACACCCAGTTGCCAAAGCGCGACTAGAAGGGCAGTCCTACCCACGAGGTCAGTATTTTCATTATTTGTTCTCGATCAGTTACTCTGATCTCCATTATCCCGTATTCTTGGATGGCGTGCGATTTGTTCTCCTGGATATTGACCCATTCGTCTCCTTAGATTCCCCTTCGAGTCTGCTCCTTCTTCGACTGAAGCCAGAAGCCGCGTTTGTTTACTTCACCTTTCCGACTTCATCTTCTCACACGCGTCTAGAACCGCACCAGATGCCTCATTCTTCCCCGTGAGGCAACAAGTCTACGCCCTGCGCCCATTTTGACCCTCCCACCTTGGTCTGCCCGAGATTTCTCTTTTTCCAACTCACATCCTCTAACCCCCAACTTCTCTCCCTCTTCCACCCTCGGGGTCTTCTCATTTTTTTCTTCTTCTTCCTCTTCTTCTCCGTCACCACAACACTTTCTCATCGACAAAGCAGCTTCGCCCAACAAGAGGCGACGGCTTCATCTCGCGATACGCGCCGCTCATGATTTTGATCAAAGGTACGATATCCATCTTTTTCTCATTCTTTCTACTCGTCCTTCCCTTCTCTTCGCAAATATCACTCTTCCATTTCCTTTCTCAACACCTCGTCAGTCTGAGCAGTTGGGACCGATTTTCTGGCTCCTTCCTCTTCAACTCACGCGTCTCACCCCCCCTCCCAACTTTTCATCAATATTTCATCCCTCACGCGTCCTATTTTTTTCTCTCGAAAATCAAAATATTCAGACCGTCCTCACGTGAGGGTGGGTGGTCAGGCAGACTCACTTGGTTGTTTTTTCCGTCTGCCCCAGCTCACTTCCTCTTCCTCATTCTCTTCCTCACACCTTTCCCTTTCTTTTTCTTCTTCTCAAATTCAACACCACCGCCTTTCTGGCTGCCCACTTCGCAAGGTCGACCTTCTTCCAGCTTTGCTTCCATTCGATCCTCTTTTCTCTTCCTCTGCCAATCTCCTCACTCGGCTTTTTCTTCATTCCATCTCATCTCAGCCATCTCAGTATCGGCTCATTCTCATCTCTCTCGCCCGAATTGTTTGGGAATTCAGCGCAAGTTCTCATCTCAGTCTCGGGTTTTCTTTCCTCATCACTGACGAATATTTCACCCAGATCTTCCTCGCGATGGCCTCCTCTCCTCCCTCCGAGATCGAGGTTCCCAGCATGAAGCATTGGCACAGCAGCAGCCCCATGGTAAGCCCGCAATCTTTTCATTTGCGTCCCGGACTCGTCTTCTCTCGTGTCTCTTCCCACCTGCCCGTCTTGCCGATTGGACCCTAAGCGGGCCGAGAATTCGTTCTCGGTGAGACGTCGGGAGCCCGGAATTGGAGAGGTGAATTGCCAGGGTGGCAGGGCCATTTGGACAGGCCAGTCACCCTTCTGTGGGCAGTCGGGGCAAATTACTTCTTCATTCCGGTTCTGCCTTCGGGCGGTATGGTCTCAACCACCTCGGATTTCTCTCGCGGAAGTCCTGGGATGGTCCAATCGGTTACTTGTTGCCACCAATCCGTCCTGCTGGGCAAGCAGGGTAGCGGGCCTTGGAGGTACACCCTACTCTCTCGTTTCCGGGTGTGGCTGTGAAAGGTGCCCCCTTATAACTTCCGCCTTCGGGCGGGTTCATGGAGCCAGTCCCAGCCATCTTTCAGGACTAGTCTCGCGACATCTGGATCTTTTTCTAGGTGACATTCTGGGTCCCCATCGATGTCTGGGTTCTCAGGAACGCTTCCTCACGGTTGCGTTCTTGAGCTAACCGCAACGTCCTTCCGTCAAAAGTTGGACCGCGTGGTAGCTAGGTGTCGCAAGCCAAAAGTGTTTCTCCATGGATGTTAAGAAGTACCGATCTTGGCGAGATTGCAATGGTGGCGGCAGCAAAGATGCAGGATCTCAATGGCGTGGCACAATAGAGGATGACGAGTTGGGCTTACCAGTAAGGTTTTCCTTGCTGACTGGGTGAAGACACAGGACAACTCATTCGATGATTCCGAGAGCCAGGATGATATGGCAGACAATTCAGTAAGTTGGACCTCGACATCATCCTCAAAACATGTGAACCCTTTTGCTGACATCTGTTCGACAGGTCGACTCTGACAACGGCAATGAGGTACGCCCACAATTCACATTGTGTCCCAGCCTCGTTTTTCTTTGCGTCTTGCGCTTCCTGTGGTTGCCCTGCCCTCCGAGTCCTAAGCAAATGACGTATCGGGAGTCCGGCGATATCTCAAGCTTGAGGCATGTGTGGATGCCAGGACCATTTGGACCGGTCACCGACTCTACTTTGAGCCGGGGCATCGCCCTTCGAGTGACGGATATCGGGTGCGGGACGTGGCGTCAACCTCCGGTTCGATGGACTGGGGGATGACTCGTGAGGGTTCGGTCTCGTCGTCGTCATACCCTAATAGAGCAGCTCGAGATCATTCCCTACTCTCCCGTTTTGGGGGTGATTCTTGTGGGACGGCCCTGATGACACCTTCGGGTGTCCCTGCGGAGAGCTTGGAAGAAAGCCACGCGGTGGTCAGAAGAATTGGCCGCTCTTCCTACCATCAAGCCTGAGGTGAGAGGCGCCAATTCTCAACCACCGCGTGGCGTGGAAGCCTTGGAAACCACACCTGCCCGCGCCTGTGCCAATATCCAGGCCTTAAATGGGGATGGGGGCGCCAGGCAGATGGTTAGAACCAAACCGTTAGGAAAATCAGGATGCTCCGTGCGCTTAACGGGGACCTGCCTGGTATGGCGTCGATGATCAGGGTTCAGGAAGGCAGCAAGATGCAGACATTGAGAACTTCGATTGGGGCGTACCAGCATAATATCTATTCTCCAGCTGACTGGGCGCAGAAACTCACACAGGATGACCCTCTTTCGGCCAAGGGCAAGGACTCCGTCCATCAGAACCAGCAGGTATTGTGTCCTCTCTGGAATCCATTTCTATGCTAAGCTTCTAACATTCAAGTTCAAGAACTCTGTAGTCAATCATACGAGCTACAACCAGACGGAGTCTGACATCTCAGCCGATAAGTACACGGCGATGCTGATGCTAGAGTCACGCGTTGCGCAGATGGAGGAAACTTGCAATCAGCTCAAGAAAGACATGAATCAATTCCAAGTCAAGACAGATCCGGTGCACTATCACCGCACGGCGATGAGCCGAGTGGAGGCAGTTGAAGGACGCCAAATGAAAACGGACAGAAACGTCGAGCGTATGGACAAAGGCCAACAACAGATCGAGGCCACCCAACAGCAAATCCAGACGACTCAAGCCACCCAAGACAAGCAAATTCAATACCTCATTTTCTGCGAGGACGCCCGTGACGCCTCTAAGCACGGCAGTAAGGCCTCTGAGGACGAACACTACCAGCGACACAAGGAGCTTCAGGACAGATGCGACGAGCTGACGATGAAGATTATGCGATATGATGAGATGTTCATTTCTCAGGCAACCCGAAACCAGAGAATGGGTGCCCTGGGACACAATCTGGCTATTTGTACTGCTCTCGTCGTCGTTGTCCTTGCCATTGTGGGCTATGCTGTTCTCTGGTCTTGAGATTGAAAGGAAACATGGGATGGGGAGTTGAAGAATTGTACAGCAACTGAGAATTGATTCGGGCATGGTTGAATGGAAAGAACATGGAGTGTCAGTTTCCCCGAATGAATCAAGCATAAACACAATTTCCCAAAGTAATAGAGATTTCCCCTCTCAAGAAGCTTCATGATGCCATACACGTGCGGCTTGTCTTGCAATTAACCAGTATTTCGTCCTAAAGAATTAGCAAAAACCAGAATTTGGTCAACGCCGAGAACCTGTGGCAATGTGCAAGATTGTGTAATGTCGAGATAAATGTAAGAAATAGGTATCTGGTAAGCTGCAATGTTTATGTTACTCATGAATCATACTCCCGTCACCTTTGGGCGGCCAAGCTAAAATCAAGCCTGTTCTAAGGAGACAGGGCTTGTAAGCTCCGGCTCATCCGACGCTCAGCCCTTCTTCTCACTCGAAATGTCCGCTCCAGAGCCGTCATCACGATCCCAAATTGCAGTCTCCATGGTCGGGTACACCAGGTCCGCGTCTTCCTCTCGCCACTCCTCCAGATCGACCAAATGCCAGTTGGCCCTTACGAATCTGCTCCGAACCTTGTCTGACATGCCAACCATGCGAATCTGCACACCCTTGCCAGAATGCAACTTAATCTCATCCTTAAGCTCCTTCAACGTCATGATGCCTGATGTATCGATAAATGGCACCATGGTGAAGTCCCATACAACAACAGCAAGCGGCGTCTCTTTGAGACGAATCTGCTTTTGCGCTCTCAATCTCTCTAGGCGCTTCTCTGCTGCTACGCTCCAGTGTCTTTCTCTGTCGTCTTGGCTAAGGCTGCTCTCAACGCGCGGGTATACCAGCTTGATGGCCGTGAGCGTCGATGTCTTTGCGCGCTCGGCGTTGGGGAAGAAGATGGCGTCGTTGAAGTCGACGACGATGGCATCGCCTGGGATGGAGATGCGCGCGTTCTCCATGCGTTCATCTGTGACTTGGCGACCGCCGCCGCTGGTGATGCGGGTGATGGGTTGTGGGATAGAAGTGGCGGTTTCTGCGCTGCTGGAGTGGATTTCGGGCTTGACGAAGGTGGAACGGAGGAGAGTCCAGACGATGCTCCATGCGACCTTGATTTGAAGAGTCAGTTATGGTTGAAAGAAAGTCGTATTGTGAAGAGGAGGAAACATACAGCAACGCCAATGCCAATCTCGGCTGAGACAAAGATGGTGACCCAGAAAGAAACCATTGAGGCAACAAAGTCGGGGAAGGAGATGCGCCAGAACTTGTAGAACAAGGACAAAGGACCGAAGAGATGGACAACTGCCATAATCTATGCCTTTTGTTAGTGGATATTTTCTGAGTACGGTCAATGGAAACTCACGATGATTGCCGACAAAGTTGCAGAGGGAAGCCAGTAAAGGGCCGGAGATAAGACGTAAAGCGTCAAGAGAATGAAGGCAGCGGTGACCGCACCAGTCAGAGGACTCTTGACACCACACTCAGAGGCAACAGCGGTTCGAGACATGGCACCACCGACAGGCATGGTGCTGAAGAAACTGTTGACAATGTTGACGACACCCAAGTAGTTGAACTCCTGGCTCTGGTCGATCTGGTAGTTGTTCTTCCTGCCAAACGCCTTGCCGACAGCCAAGTGCTCAAGGGTGCTGGCAACGAGGGGAGCAACGGCTCTGGTAGCGACCTTCTGGACCAAGTTCGAGGCGGGTACGATGGGGTGGGTGATACCGTGGGTGCTGACTTGGCTGACCTTCCAGGCGTAGTCTGACTTCTCGCGGTTGCGGTTGACGAGGTAGCTGATGAGAGTGAAGACGACCAAAACAATGACGGCTCTGGAATTGGCGAGGAGCTTGATAGCAAAGTGTCTCTTGCCGTACTTCTTGCCCACCTTCTCAAGAATGACGAGAATGAGCAGGGTTCCGAAACCGATTCCGCACGTTGCGCCGTCCCATTTTGGCAGACGACGAAGGACATCGCCAATAACATTGAAGACACCGGATGGCACGTTTGTCAGGCCGACGAGGGATCCGACTTGGCCAAAGGCGATGACGAGGGCTGCGGCTGAGATGAATCCGGTGAGGACTGGGAATGAGACGTAGTCCAGGAGGAATCCGAGGCCGAAGAGACCGATGACGAGTGAGTAGACTCCGACCATGAGGGCAACGGATGAGGCAATGGCTGAGATGTCGAATCCTTCCTCACTGAGATCGCGCACGATTTCAGCTGTCAGGAGGCCTAAGATGGAGGTCGGTCCGGTTGAAAGATCTATACATCGGACCAAGAGTCAGAAACTAAGAACCACAAGAATTAGTCAAAACAGATATGCAAACAAACCTTTTGATGTTCCCATGAAAACTGCAAACGCAGCTGGAAGCCAACTTGAGTACAGGCCGTTGGCAATAGGAATAGTTGCGATCTTTGCGTAAGCTAGAGACTGCGGGATGAGCATGACGCCCACGGTCAGACCAGCAATGAAGTCGGTGATGAGCCATTTCGGATTGTATCGAGGAAGCCACTGGACGATGGGGACCTTGTCCAGAAGGTAGACTCCCGCGGCTGATGGAAGCTTTGGTGCCCCCTGAACGACAAAGTCACGAGCTCGTGCGATACTGGCATCTGTGGCGAACTCGTCCTTCACCTTTTCGACCTTTCGGGTGATCTTCTCCATCTTGACAGCAGGAAAGGACCCAAAGTGCCGTTGTTTGAAAAAAGATGAGAAAGGGAAAGTGAGGAAAGAGAAGTGTCCGGGGCCGTCGGTGGCTGATGTGATGGGAACAGACAAAATGGTTTCAGAGCAGTTGGGATGATTATATCTGTTCAAGAAAGAGTCAAGTCATCACCTTCATCCGGTCTCAACTATTCGATATTTGACTTGATCCTAGAGATAACAATGTAGTTCAGCCAGACCCCTCCCCCCGCCACGCTGATGGAGGTGTTCTATATGCTTGCTGCATCGCATCTGATCCGCGCATTGCAGCTTGCCCGCTTGCGCAAGTTGCCCGTCCCCCAGTACAACACAGCAACCACATGGGATAGCGACCGAACCTTGTAGGCGGATAACTGTACCATCCAATACGTGTAGAGAGAAGGCAAAAAAGGCAAGAGGAGAAAGAGGGGGAGGCGTGGGCCAAGAAAACACCACCGCAGCAGCATCATGGGCTCCTGCGTGTGTACACAACTTGGCCCAATCTAGGCAAGGAACTGCCGTACCCTCCTTCGGACGACACTCGGTATCCCCTCACATGCCGATGACACCGGATCTAATGCAGTTTGATCACTGTTCAGCCCATGGAAGGTGTCGAGAGCCTCAGATTGGTGGGAGTTTGGGTAGGTCTGCGTTACGTCGAGCAAGGCCAACCAGCCAGCCAGCCCCCTCGCGCGGAGTCGCGCCGCGATGAACGCCAAATAGCTTGGGGACAAGGAAGACATTAGACCAAAACTCCAACTTTTCTCCAATAAAGGGACATGATAAGCTACATGTACAAGCAAAACTTCAGGTCTGGTCCCTGGATGCTAGTCGGGTGCAGACGTCCATCCAACTCAAAGTGAAACTGACTGGTACCCATCCCGCGTGGGATAGCAGGAAAAGGACTTGTGAATAGTACCTAGCGTGGCGTGGCAAAGAAACGGTACGTTGATCACATGTGCACCAGGGTTGGGGGATCAAAGTCAATGGCTACTGGACGGGACGAGAATAGGATCAGTTGAAATATTTGGAGTAAGAGAGAACACCACATAATTAGCACACACTACCTTATGTGTGAAGTTACTAAGTAAAGCACGAACGCAGCTGGGCACGGAGGCTAGAGTTGGAGTCGTGTCAGCTGAGATGAAAGGACCGCGCCCTCTCATTCGTCATCTCACAAGAAGGGGAAACCATGAGCATCGCATCTTTGTTTTAACGCTTTATTCACTTGATTTTGTTTGATTTTGAGTTTGCACTCATTAGACTTTGTATTAGACTCGATATCTCGTCACTTGGCATCTGAGAGCCGCAATGCTAAGTCGACTGCCAAGTGCCGGTGTCTCTTGGCCTCCTCGTGGCTATTGACGACTTACCAAAGCACGATCCAGTCTTGGCAGGTTGCACATCGAATCTTGTGAGACAGCGAGGGCGTTGAAAAGGACGGACGATCGCCACCGGCAGACAAAACGGGCCGACCTCATGGGCAGTCAAGGCAGAATCTTTGGGTGTGTACGTGTGTAATGTACGAATGTGAGTGATGAGTGAGAGAAAGTGAGTGAGAGGTATGTGTATGATGACTGTGAGATGCCACGGCTAGTACCACGGTAGTCGAAAAAGCGTCGAGCCAAGAAAATAGGCAAGTCCCAAAGCCTTTTAGCGAACACCGACACTTGGTACCTAAAGCACGTCCTTGGGGGTTGCATGCATTGGCAGTCTATGTACACGGGAAGCTTGGCGGCAAAACACATATCGAATTTCCTCATCCGGATTGGTGACTTGAGATAACAGGCTCTCCCATCCAAGACATAGAACACTTGGCTTTCTCTGATCCTCTCTCTGGCGCACGCAGCGCATGCGTGGGACCTTTTCGGTCTCAGCTTCTTGTGCAGGACAGGAGTTGACCGAACGTGAAGGGTCGCAATGGGATGTACGTGGTATCCATATTCCCATATCAAGGTGACGACGACGACGCAATACAGAGCCCCATTTCTTTGGTATGCAAGATACCGCGGGCTTAGTCGTGCAACCCGAAAGAGGGAAGTGTGTTCGATTCTCTCTCCCTCGCGGCCCTATCGTTCCGTCAGGTCTCTACTGTGTATCTATCTTTGCCTCTCTCTCACAGACTTCTCTCCTTCGACCTGCCTGTAAGTATCAGAGGTACGTTAGTTTTGACGCAAGACCGGAATTCCCGCGCGAGATCCCCCCTACCCAGTTGGCCCCCTCACCCCCTCCGTTGTCCACTTCCCTTCCCGTTCAACTAAAGACCAAGACGCGGGGTACATACCCGTCCAATAGCGCTCCCGTGGCGGCCATCGGCTCTAGCAAGGCCATCTTGGATAGACGAACGCAATGACGAGGCGAGATGTCGTGTGCCGGGTGGTGGGCGCGGGCTTCCAGGACAGGACTCCACCGAATTGTTCCCACACGGCCACACACCCCTTCTTCCAGTCTCCGCTCTCTGTACTCCCCCAAGTCTACCCCCTGCAAGTAGCCTTCGATACGACGGGACAAGCTTTTGATTTCCCCGGTTGAGGTGGTATGCCAAGCCCGCGAATCAGGTGCCGTATTCCGGCCATGCAGACCGGGGTGAAGTCCGGGTTTGACCGGGGTTTAGGCCTCTGCCGCTCGGTGCTAGCCTAACGGGAGTGACTCGCAAGGAAAGCGAAGAGCGAGGAGGAGGAGCCAGGGAGCCTAGGAAGAGGAGACAATCGAGCAACACCCGCTGCGAGAACCCATGGAGATGTGAATGCAGTTCGGCGGGCGGCGAGCGGCAAGTGGATTGTGGGCCACAGAAATAACTTGACAAGCGCAACAAGAGCCGAGTGTGAACGGGGTAGAGAGAGTGTGAGAGACTATGCTATATGTAGCATCCCTAACTGAACATACATGTTTCTTCGATTAAGATGCTGCAGTCACACCGACGAGGGTTGTATTAGATCCATGCTCACTGGTCGAATCCCAGGTCATGTCTACCACGGCATGTTTGCGTATGTGCCAGTGCCGCCTTTCTTGCTGCAATTCCGACGAATCAGCTCACGTTGCCGTTGGGATGGGAATAGCTTTCCATCGACAACACCAGGGGGATTGTCGCTTTCGCGCCCTGCCTCCAACTCTACTTACCTAGTCAGTCAAGTCAGTCAGTCAGTCAATCGGTGATGTGCCCAGTCCCAATCCCCCCTCATCTCTCATTGCCCCTTGGTGCTCGCATTTACCCCTCTTTGCCATCTTCTTTTCTTGCTCTCCAGTCTCCTCTCTCTGTCCGTCTCCAACTTTTCCAAGAATAGGAATGGGTGTCGTCAACCGCAACGTTCACACCCATACAGAAGTTCCTAACCCTACAGGCCTGCTGCCCGCACCGGGAAATGGACCGAAAAGAGTGAAGGCTCAAAATATTGGATGATGCAGGTAGCGGAAACGGCCTTGTCAGCTTTCTCCTCCTGCACCGCAACCACCATTACCGCCTCAGCACCTGGGAATGCCTGCCTTCGACTCGTTGCTGAAACGGAACTATTGGCCCGGATTGATGGTGTTGTCGCCGTGCGGGGTTCATTCCATGAGGATTGCGATTCTTTTCTGCTCGTCGCTCTCGACGCTTCGGTCACCGGTCACCACCTTCTTGATCCATCTTACGGCTCTACGCACCCCTAGCCTCAAGGCCCCCGGCCTGGATCCCCCCTTGGGCCCTAGGATCTCCTTTCCCGTTATTCTCTTCTTATTTTCTGCGTTTCTTACCGCCGGCTCCCACCCTGCGATAAGCCTAAATCGGGCACGAGGGCCCAAGGGGGCGTGTCCAGAGGGGGGTTCTCTCTCCTCGCATGCAACGAGAGCCTGGCCGCGGGTCACGGATGGGCGTCGCGAACCTGGCTGCTACAACCTATTGCAGTCATATTCCTTCCACACCGAGGGATGAAAGCTGCAATCAACTAACATGGCACCCACCCCTCTTTCCATTAGATCTATTTGAGGCAACGATATCTGGTTAGACTGGGTCCGTAGCCACGGACGTCTTTCGGAGACCTGTCGGCAAGAGAAAGAGGTAGTTATGTAAATGATGTGTCGGTGATGGAAGAGGACGGTGAAAGAGAGCAATAGTCGTGGCATACGGGGGCTCTAGTTCTAGTTTGAGAAGCAACGGAGGCGATCTATGCGCGGCTGACTTGATGGTGATACAAGGGCCTGGACTTGGCAGCGGGAACTGAGTAATCCGATTATGTTTGGACGAGAGCTTTCTGGAGTAGCTGGCATGGATACCCTTTCCAAGCCCAGTTCTGTCTGTAAACTTTGAGTAGGTTACCTTGACTTCATAGACTCTGAGCAAAAAGATAAAGAAAAAAAGGCTTTTGTCTGATGGGAGTGGGAGACATAGTATCAAAGGTGGGAACAGCGTCCCAAAAGCCAAAGAGCGAAGGGGCGAGATTGGTTTTGTTTCTAGACATCATAGACTTTGCTGCCAAGAATAATGAAATGGTATTATTGACTGATCAACAATTTCTGTCGACAAATGAGATGATGTTTTTGTCCCCTGGCTGTAGACGTTTCATCGCCCAACGAAACAAAATACCGCCAGAGCACAGACGATGACCGAGGGCAAAGGACTCAGCCACCTCGTTCCCGTTTCCAATGTTTCCATGCATAATGTTTCCGTTGCGTGTTGTTGTATGACCATCAGAGTTCCTCCGTCTCGGTCTGAACATCCTCGGCATCGACGCTAGTGTCCTTGGTGATCTCATCCTTCTCGGCGCTCTTGACCTTGTCCCAGAATTTCTCTCCAGCATCGGGGTCGTTAGCGAAGAGGTGGTCGACGACCAGCTTCTTGGGCGTCTCGCCCATCCACTGGAACAGGGAGAAGTCTCTGAATTCGTCGGCGCGGAAGATTTCGAGCATCTCGAGGGGTTCGTCGCCAATGTTCTCCACAAAGTGACCCATGTTCTTCGGGACGATGCCAACGTCGCCTGGCACGTAGTCGAATGTCCTGGCGTTTCCTTCTGAGGCGAAAATCGTGACTCTGGCGCGACCCTTGATGAAGAAGGACCACTCGTCGGCGTTGGGGTGCCAGTGCATCTCACGAAGGGCGCCGGGCTCGATGATGGCGTGGGCAGCAGCAATGGTCTTTGAGATGGGGAAGTTCTTGGAGTCGGTTACTCTGACTTCGCCGCCAGAGGTCTTCTTGGGTTCCTGCGCAAGCATCTTGTGCGTGAACTGGTGCTTTGATTTCTTGACGCCTTTTCCGTCAGGGGCCTCGTGGCTGATGGAGCCGGGTGTCGTTCCTTGGAAGATGTACTTCTCTCCCTCGGGGATGTTTGCAAAGACCTCGGGAGCCAGCTTGAAGTTCTTTGAGATGACAGACTTGGGGGTGTGTGCTGTTGTATTGTCAGTCAATCTGAAGTCTTCTTGTCTCTCGGTGGCACCATACCAAGCCAGTCCGTAAGGATGAAAGTAGACTCCTCAGAAAAGTGTCCGTCGTCGAAGATTAAGAGAAACTCGGTTCCGTTCTCGCCGAGCCCTTGAAGGGAGTGAGGAACACCGGAGGGGAAGTACCTGGCCACAACTATTTAGCATGAGGAAAAGAAGCAGAAAACAATTTCAAACAAACCAGAGATCGCCTTTTTGGACGTCATCGATAAAGTTGCCTCCCTCGTAGTCAATGGCGGTGATACGGCAGCTGCCATCAAGGACATATGCCCATTCAGCTTCCTTGTGCCAGTGGAGTTCGCGAACGACCCCCTCGTCTAGGCGCATGTTAACACCGGCCAGCTCGATACTAGTAGGAAGCTCGCGAATCGTGGTTTGTCTAGTCCAACCACCCTCCTACAAATAGAACTAATTAGTACCATTAAGCTACAGCGGAACCTGTGCGGACAAACGGACCTCGATGCGAATGTGAGAATCAGCAAAACTCCAACGCATGTTGGCAAGATTGCCGTGATCAGTGCCTGGAGGTCGAACGAGATCCGGGTTCTGTCTGGATCGAGCCTCGTTCCAAGGACCGAGAACAGAGGCTCCGAGGCCATTGCGATATGGCAAGGGATCGAGCTCGTCGCCAATGGAGTCGATGGGACTATCGTACTTGTCCTTGTGGCCAGGAGTGTAGGGAGGCGAACCACTGCGGTACTTTGTAGGAAGACCCTTGCCGTCGAGGAGGCGCTGGCGAGGACTGTCCTGGACAGGCACGGCGAGGGTCGGAGCGATGAAGCTCAAGACAGCTCCTGACAGGAGCAGCGGGAGATGCATGATGGTGGTGGGAAGCGTGTAAGAAGAGGATGTCAGGAAGAAGGAGCTGCAGGTGATCTGTCTTTCATTATTATGATAAAGGTAAATTGGCCGCGCTGGCTTTTATATTCCACACTTTGTAGCCAAGACGCGAAGATCCTCGGTCCTGAGCTGGGAAGATTTCGGAGCTCGAAGCTCGGAGGAGTTCCTGATTGACCAATGGCCATACGGTTTCGAACCCCTGGCAAGCTGCCTCGACGAGTTACACTGCTATCGGAGGCCATACTGAGGTTCGGTAGTGTGGTCGACCATAGAAAGCCTGCCTCCGAGTGAATGCCGACGCATCTCCGCATACCATGGGTCGAGGACCTCAGGACATGGAGCTATCAATGATGTGAGGTGAGGAGGAGGAGCTCAACCGAGCGCGGCGAGGTGTCGATGCTGCGGGGTACCGCTGTAATCGGCGCTGCCCAGGCCCCCTTTACCCCAAGCTCCGACCCCTGTAAGCGGTAAATGATTGGAGGCCACTGCGTGTCATTGGCGACCTGGGCTGGTCTTTTGGCATGTTGGACGGCACCCGAGCAAGAGTGGTAAAGCTTGGCTGATTCTGCAACGATTGTGAAGGGGGTGGAATGTGAAGAGCAAGTGGAAGATGCAGAAGACGAGTAGAACAGTACTGTATAATTGATTATTGCATCAAAACGATGACGCGTCGTACAAATGATGTTTCGCTTTGTTCACACTGCTGGATTTGTGCATAAGTACATACGAAAAGAATTTCTTAAAGGGCAAGACCACCTCACTTAAGGTGAGGTGCCTGCCGTGCCTGCCTACTTACGTAGCTGCCTTCCTTCCCTTCCTTGGCTTCGGTCACGTTACCTCGCTTGCCTGTGGCTTCACTTTGGAAAATGTCACCCGCCTCTTTCTCTTGGCCTGGATGTACATACCCTGAAGTCTTCTAATGTGCATTGAGAATAGAGCAAGGAGTCCGAGTCTTAGCATTCATAAACATGATCATTTATTGAATAAGTCGGAACACCCCCATTCGGCTACCCTAAAAATCCCTCCTAGCCCCCCTAATTAAAATCCTACCCTCAATTTATAAACTACTATAATAATTATAATTATTAACTAAATGAATTTCTTTTTAATATATATATTTTTATATTATATTATAGTATTATGTACTAAAAATAAAGTTATTTAAGCGCTTAAAATAATTAAAAATAGTACTTTAATTAAAAAGGCCTCGATTAAGTTTAGTATTTTAAAAAATATATTTTAAAATTATTAACGAGGTTAATAAGTTAAAGTAATTACTTTTATTAATTAATAAAAGCTTCTTTTTTAATAAAAAATTAGGCTAGTTAAATAGGTTCGTATTTAATATATTTTAAAAATTATATTAATTTATAAATAAGTTAGAGAATTCGTTAAGTAAGTTTTATAAACTTAAAAAAATAACTATCTTCTTAAAAAAAAATACTTTTTTAAAGCGGAACCTATTTATTAAGGTTTAGAGAAGTCGTCCTATAGATTTAAAGCGTATTAATAAAGTATTTATTAAAATAATTAGGCCTTAGTTCTAATTATTTAATATCTTAGAGATTAAAAATATTAAATAAGTTAATAAATATAATATAAATAAGACTAGTATTTTTAAAAATAAGGGATTTAATAAGCTAATTTTAAATATAACTAAGATTAACGTAGTATAAAAAAAAGAGCTTAAATTACGTTTTTAAATTTTTATTATTAAATATATTTTTAATAATAATAAAACTATTAAACTATTACTAATTTATAAAAAAAAGTTAGTTTAATAATAATAATTCCCCCTTAATTTTAAAGATCTTAATAATTAGGAGTTTATAGTAATAAATAATAAGTAAACTATAAACTAGACTACTTTTATATAATTAAGGGTAGTTTTTTTATTATAAACTAAGCCCCCCCTAACTAAGGGACCTAACTTATAACTAGAACTTTAACTATTAATTTTAAATAAGTATAGGAGTTATATAATAATAAAATTTATATAAGAGTACTATATTAATAACGTTTATTTATTATTTTTATTATTATATACCTTTTATATTCTTTAGTTATTAAACATAACTATTTTTAATCTTATTAAAACCTATTATAAAAAGGAGCTTAATAAAGAGAATATAATAAATAATTTTATTATTATTAAAAAGTAATACTTCTTAACTTATTATATTATCGCTCGTTTACTTAGTTTAATAAAAAATAATATATAAAGTAGTTAAAAAATAACTAATTTATAACTATTTAATATAACTATACTTTTTTAATAATCCTATAGTATTATTTAGCCTAGTTATATTATTAAATAATATTATTAATACTAAATAGATAATTATTAATATTATTAAAGTCGTTAATTAGACTTTTATAACGTTTATTATTAACTAATTAACTCTTAAAAAAGCTAGCGATCTTTATAAATAATTAAAACTATTTACAAAACTTAGGCTTAATCATAATACTTAACGTCTACTTTTTTATAAAATTAAAAAAGCTTTTAATAAGAAGTCCTTTTTATTAACCTTATTTTAATAATAAGTTCGAGTTTTAAAAACTAAAGTTAAGTATATAGTTCTTAAAAAAAAAAGAGTATTTAAATAAATTTAAATACTAAGTTTATTAATATTAAGGATATAAAAAAGGTTTAAAAAAATATTAATAAGCGTTTAATTAATTTTAATTAAACTATAAAGGTCGAATTACTTAGTAAAAGTAATAACTATATTATAGTAGTAGTAGAAGGTAGTTAATTAATTAACCATAGTTAGTAGCGATATACCTAGACTTACTTTTAATAGGGTGGCCGAATGGGGGGGGTGGCCGAATGGGGGTGTTCTGACTTAATTCTCTTGGTAAATGATGATAGGGTTCATATGGCACACGGGAAGGATGTTTGCCTGCTGCACTAAAAGTACCGAGGCCTCGATGCAAACTAGCTATGATAAGCCTCCTTGATGAAATTTTAGTCGGGTCTAATTTTCCAGTCTTGAATGATGTACGTGATCGAATATATAACAGTAAGGAAATACTTTGCTTATGAGAAGATCCGATAACCGTTGAGGAAATATTCATGTATTCTCTCATCGGCTTAGGATCGAGTAGATTGGTTGAGGGAGCAATACATCAAGGATTCAAGTACTGTGAGGACTGAAAATGATAGTATGTGACAAAAACTGTTCGTCAAACTCTCCAACATGAAGTAGGCTCGTGGAAGTCAGATGTGACAACTTGCTGACACACTTTCAGCTCCTGATCCAGGGAAATTGGACGGGCTTGATACATGCTGTGTACTATACATGATGAACTCGTACATTTACCTTAGAATGACCAAAACTTGCTCTTATTGCTTAAAGTTCTCACTAAACTAAAACATGACAATATGTATCAAGTGCTCCATTTGTCAACACCGGGTAAATGTGTTGGTGTTTTGCATGATACTGAACTCTTATCTGGCAGATACTCAACCAATCTCGTACATATAAGAACCAACTGGCTAGAAATACAGAAGAGAAATTTAGCGCTTCAAATAACCCCTCGACTGAACCCGAGACATCAGCATTCTGTAGCCTCACATGGGGTCAGCCATAGTCATGTAGACCATAAAGACTGCCTATTACGGCTTTGGCAAAGGCCCCGCGTCCATGAATTCTCACAAATGTCTTGTGATACCGTCACTGACCTTCTTTCAAAAGCAAAACAAACCATCAAAGCTTTCTTCCTCTTCTTCAAACACCTCAAAGGCAACCACCAAATTGAGAATACTTCGCTTTGCCAGCAAAGGCTCCCATCAGAGCAAGATGGCAGAAGGTCTGAAGCCTGGCGTGTACGTGCCAGATCCAATGACTACAACTAAGTTTTCCATAATCTGACAGTCGAGAAACACCCAAGCCCTATATCTTCATCAATGGCAAGTACTGCGTCGCGAAGGACCTCACTTTGGCCAACTTTGGCGATCTGGTGGCCGCCGAGAAACCCGAATACGACTCTACCATCGCTGTTCAGGCGGCTAACAGACCCACGGTTGATGAGCCAAAGCCTCAGTCGGAAGGCTACGCGAATTTCCCTTTTCTGGCCGAAATGCGACCTCCTCCCATGATGCCCGCTGGCGCCAATGTCGACCGCAAAATCTGGGACGGCAACAACTCGAGAAAGATGAAAAGGGAAGACGAAGACTTCATGGCGGCAGCGATGACCGATGAGGAGAACGACGAGGGACCCGTTGGACATCCTGAATAGCACACGAATGTAATTTTGAACGTTCCTCGGGAGCCTCATCTTCTCATTTTTTCGCACCCTCTGCCTCGCCATGCAGTCCTGCCCTTTGACGATCTCCACGCGTACCATCCAGCTCTCGCGCTGGATGACTTCGAGCACCAGAAGCATGCACCTTTGGCCCCAATGGCCCCTTGGCACCCCAGCAACATTCAGGAGCCAGAGGCTCACCAGAATGGTCGTGCCTTGGAGGCCGTCAACAACTGCATCATCGCTGGACAGCAGCCGCAGATCCTCCCTGGTCTCGCCGATAACCGCTTCGATGAACACACGCCGCACTATTAGTCTCTTGAGATTGGCTGGTTTGGCTAATCTTCAAACCTATCCCTACGTCACAGGGAATGAGCAAGCATGAGATTGCAAGCAGCAATGACCAGTACGAGACGATAATGTTGGTATCAAGAAGCATGTGAAACTTGGGATCAATGAGGCTGTGGAACAACTCGTATGAGAGCACATGTATCATTAGCACTGTCAGCAGTGATAGCCCACGGGCATGTCTGCCAACAGAAGGAACGCTTCTGATTACTGAGCAGGATAACCATACTTGCTCATTCTACTCACTGCCAGTGTATCATAGAATGTCCAGACGAAGTATGCAAAGAGGAGATGAAGCTGAGTTCTTGCAGTGTGGGCATTCGATCGACGAGGTCATGACATAACACTTGACATGAGAAGATATAATTTGGATTGCCACGTGGATTACTAGTACAACTATATTTTGTGCGCCTCGTTTTGGTGGACTAACGCGCCTTAGATGAAGTCGACTTCATCAAGACAGTGGCCCAGTATACAAGCTATGCCATATATTGAACCATGGGAGCTTTGCGAACTCGTTACAAGTAGGCAAGAGCACCAAGAGCGAGAGCAGCCAGGAGGCCAACGGGACCCTGAGTAGCAGCACCGTTGACGGTGACGGGGGTAGCGGTAGCAGTGGCAGTGGAGGTCCCGTTGCGAGTGGTGGTGGCGCTCGTGACAACAGCAGTGCGAGTAGTGCCAGCGGCGGCGGACGAGGCAGCGCTCGTGACGGCGCGGGAAGCACTTGAAGCGACGGAAGAGGCGGCGGAAGAAGCCTTGCTGGTGGCAGCAGAGGCAATGGAGGAGACGGCAGCGGAGGCTGAGGCAACGACGGAAGATGCAGCAGCAGAGGCCGAAGCGACGACCGAGGAGGCGGCGGAAGCAGGGCCACCGCCTCCAGCGACGGCGGCGCAGATCTTGCTAGCGGCGGGGAGGACCTGGTCTTGAGTGCCAGAGTTAGGATCATGTCGAGTTAGACAAGGGCTTTGGTGATGAACTTACTGACGGCAACGTCGGCACCGCAGCTAGCGAGGACGCAGGGAGTACCGGCGGCGACGATAGCCTGGTAGTTGGCACCGCTGCAGAGGCAGGAAATGTCACCAACAGTGCACTTCCCGTTGGAGGTGACGGCGTCGGCCAAGCACTTCTGGGCACAAGTAGGGACGTCCGCCAGAGACTGGGCGGCGGCGAGGCCAGCGAAGGCGATGATGGCAGCTGTGAACTTCATGTTGACGGTTGAGGTGATGTCGAGTGACTTGACTAGGAGTTGAGTGACTGAAACGACAGCGAAGGTGTTGGTTATACCGGGTGAAGCGAGAGTTGGAATGAGCTGATGAGGGAGAGGAGAACCGGGATTCGAAAAGGTGGAAACGCCAGCTTCTCATATACACCACGGACTACCTACCTTAAGGTCACCGAAATAAACATCTGCGGGGGGTTACACCCGGTCTATTCCTAGCTCGGGACTGAACACCTTTGTCTAAGGTTGAGTGAGATGTTCCCGTGAGTATCCAGTTTCCGGGCTGGATGAGGAGCTCTGGAATGTTGCGGTTCAGCGTTTGCAGCCACGCACGTTCCCACATCCGTCCCTGAGACACACGAGGCCAATCGGAGCCTCCAATTCGTCTTCTCCAGCTCCTAGGTTCCTGTGGCGTCCAGACTAGACCGCAGCTTGTTGAGAGGTGTGCCTGACCGGGCTCAAGCCGGATTCAGCAGCTTCATGGTGGCGCCGAGAGCATCCGCCTATTTTGGTGTTGAGCGACACGGCGGGAATCCATGGCTTTCTCTGGAATCCTTTACCTCTTGCGTCTCGGTTGAGGTGGGAGTAGGTAACACAGATTGCTGCGGAGGAGAGCTTTCATCGGCGCTGCGTCATTGATCTACCTTGAGAGGCCTTGAGCTCGACGGAAAAGATGAGGAGGTTATGACCTCACAAGAGCTCTAGAAGAATCAACGAGTATTGACGGAGCAAACTGCATGGCGTTCATCTTATTACCTAAAGTAGGGTGCCCCCCTCAAAGTTACCCACAAGGTGCACAAGGTGGTGGACTGGATAGGTAAGACAGTAATAAAAGCTTAACATTCTGGATCCCGCGGGGAAAAGAGAGAAACATACAGGGATGAAAATTTGACAGTCCATCTGATAAGTCTCAATAATGGGCATCCTGTCTGTCATCGTACCGAGAAAGTAGGAAAGGAGATTTTTTCGCCGAGCCGAGAATGTGGTAAACTTGTCAGAACACCAAAGACGCTTATCGTGAACTATTGGAGCTGAATCTCCACGAGGTATGGCGTCGGCCAATCGGTTGACGTCTCTCTTGGCGGACACGGCCTGGGTCGACTAAGCGCGGTGACGGAGGCAAAGGCTTGCGCTGCCAGAACCAACAAGTCGGTTCATATTGACTAAGAATTAGTTGTTGCTCTAATATCTCCGGAGGAGCCACGTTTTTGAGCTAGTCGATGGCGCGGCGGCGCCCCAGAGGACGTGATGGGCCGCGGCAATCTGACAGGTCGGGGGGCTGGGAACTACAACTACGGCACGAGCACGGCGTCAGGGGGATCCAATAAATGGCAATAATGATTACCTGATAACTTACGCTGGCGCTATCTAAATACAAGACCAAGTAACTAGCTATACGACACAAGAAGTCTACAAGATGCATGCTGTTTCGCGCCCTTGAGGGCACACCGTCTTCCAGAATCCGCCCATGCGATCCGTTACATGTCTAGTCCGTTCCGTATCCATGCCCATTCCAAATTCCACAGTGACAAAGGAGAAAGAGTAAGAGTATCAATGAAAGACCCAAGCGACGAACCGATCCATCGCATGCTATGTTGCCCCAACACAGAAAAGGAGAAGAAAGAAAACACAAAGGAAACGCTATACTCTTGCTATCCGTCCGTCCGTCCGTCCTTCGCCACGCTAATCACTCATCATTCCCTCGCTATTCCCATTTCCACAATCTCAAAAATAAGTCGTAAGGATTTAGTCGCTCTTGTCGCCCTCGGAGTGAGAGTGCTGAGACGATGACCTCTTCATACCCCGTAGATCGCATCTTCGTATGATTTGACTGAACGTGAAAGTCAGCATAGTGTTTAAAAACATTGATAGGTGATGGATTAAACTTACATTCCACCTCGCTCGTTGGGGTTGCGCACAACCACCAACTGCTCCTTCTTCTTATCATCATTCTTCTTCGTCTTCGTCGACGGTGCCCTCGCATGGGACGACTCTCGAGAGCGAGATTGCACCGAAGGCGTAGACAGACGTCCCCGTAGCTGACCGATCTGGTCCTTGAGGCTGTTGACCTCAGCGACCGAGGCGTCGTAGGAAGCGCGCATGCCGTCTAGCTGGGCATTGACGAGAGACAGCTGCGACGTCAAGGTCGCATTCTCCTGGCGGAGCGCAGGCGCCATGACGGCCTCCGTCTCCAATCTCGCGACGCGGGTGACGAGGTCGTCACGCTCGGCGGTGAGGGAGCCGAGCTTGACGGTCTCGGACTGCAGCTGATCGTTGCGGTCCGTTAGCTCAGCGATGCGATTGCGGAGCTCCTCCATGACTGCCGGCTCGGAGGGCGTGATAGACTCGGCGGATACGGACTCGGCCTTCTCGGAGACGGCATCGGCTCCGACGGGCGCTGCCTCCGGCTCGGGAGCTGAGGCAGGCTCAGGCTCCACTACTTCGGGTTCGGGCTCCGGAGCGGCCTTGGAAAGCTCAGAGGGCGCCGCTGAGGTGACGCTGGCGGTGTCGTCTTTGACTTCCTCAGGTACCGGCGCCGGGGCATCTTCGACAACCTCAGCCTCTTCGATGACTTCGATGACGGGGACCGCAGGAGGCTCCTCCACTGGGGGTGCGGGGGGTGCTTCCTCGGGCGCCGGGGGAGCTGGAAGAGCCTCTTCGGGAGGGGGCGGAGCCTCATCATCCTCACCCTTAACAGTGTCTGTATCGCTGTCATCTGCCGAGCCGATGACGGACGGGGCGGCGGAGCCGATAACTGAAGGTGCAAGTGAACCAGGGAGAGAGCCGGCGATAGATCCCATGAGTGACTCGGCACGTCGGAGCTCGCTAGTGACGGACTCATTCTCGTCCTTGAGCGACTCATTCTCCGAGCGGAGTATGTCACGTTCCTCTGCGAGACTAGAGATCTGAGACATCTTGTCGTCTTGGTCCTTGAGAAGCTCGCCGACCTGTCCTTGGAGTGTCGTGTTCTTGCCCTTGAGCCCTTCGATGCGGGTTCTGAGCTTGTCGTACTTGGTCTTGAAGCCCGCGAGGTCCTTCACCTGGGTCTCGAGCTCACCCTTGCTGAGCTCAAGCTCGCCCTTGGTGGCCTCGAGACTCTCAAAACGGATCTGGATGTCGGTGTTGGTGGTCTCGAGCTGGGTAAGGCGGACCTCAACCTCTTGCTTCTCGACTTCAAGTGCGCCAAAGCGGGTCTGAATGTCGTTCTTTTCGGTGTTAAGCTTCTCCATGTCGGCTTCGAGGCCCTTCTTCTCGGCCTCAAGGGCATCGAAGCTGGCCTGGGCGTCCTTCTTCTCTGCCTCGAGCTTCTCGATGTTTGCCTCGAGACCCTTCTTCTGTTGATCGAGGTCGTCGATCCGCACCTCCAGACCCTTTTTGGCCTCTATCAGGGCGCCGTTTTCCCGGTTGAGTTCATCGACTTGGGGCTTGTACTTGTCGACCTCCATACGGAGAAGGTCACGCTCGGCGGTGATGTCGCCAATCTCAGTGCCCTTGCGGATGAGTTCCGTCTCAAGTCCGGTGGCACGGATCTCCATGGTGTTCTTAATCATCTCGAGAGCGGCAATCCTGTTGATGAGGGATTTCTCAGTCTCCTTGGTGACAAAGTGAGCATCGCCGACGCTCCTCTCAAGGTCGTGGCATTGGGCCTCGAATTTCTTGGTGAGCTTCTCCTGCTCGGCAAGAAGCTTTTGCTGGTCAACGAGATCCTTCTCAAGCACTGCATTCTTGGTGGTAATCTCTGTCTTGG